CCCCCCCCCCTAAAAAACCTGAAGTGACGCCGCTGCTTGAGACTAAAACTTCAAAATTGATTAGGGGGAGGCGGATGGCCAATTTTGTTCCAGCCGTGGGCCCCATATGAATGTCCGGGTACACCTTTTTTAAGCCACTGAATGTGTAGGGTGATATGGACAAGTCCAACCAAACAACATATACAAATATATTTATTCATTATTGAAAAGGCGTATTATAGTGACATTCATTGCTTGTTTTGTTTAAAATAAGGGACAATGCCTAAATCTTCGCACCATTTGTCAATTTTTCCCCCACTTTTATGAATACAGGAGGCCTATACAATCACGTGACTCTCCCGGACGACGAGTTGTTTTGTAATGGCGGGGTAACAATGACAGTGACTTATAGTTATTCCGATAGGATTGTTAGTTTAATATTACAAGTATATCTATTTGGAAATAAAACGTATTAAGTATATAATCTTATTTATATTGAGTGCCCTTAACTTATAATCATGAGCCACGTCGATCAAGGGTAAGTAAATGAATTGGAATCAATAACATTTATTTTAAATTTATGTTTATTTAAAATTATTTGCAGCTTACTGACTTACTGCTTAGCTTAGACTTATATTTTAGTTTAGGCCATCAATCAAACCGGGCTTTGTAAATAAAGTAGTGAATATGTAGTATAATCATATACTTAGTGATTTAATTTATTAACGCCTATGTCCTATAATATAAAATTGGCGTGTAATTAATAATGTAGGCCCTCCAAATAAAAATTAAAATATTAAAAAATCATCAAAAATTTGAAGCACAAATTAAACACTGTCATCACTCATGGTCCAAAAATATGCCCCCCCCTCCCCCAAATGTTCAATATGGTTTATGGGAAAATGTCACAATGTGCATTGGCACAAAAAGTATACTTATAATAAATAATGTATTATAAATTAAAGACAAGATAAAGTAAAGATTGAAGTCATAAAGTAAAGATCCGTTTCTCTAACTAATGATAATGGTATAAAAATATGTTCATTTAAGATTACAAAACTTACCTATTTAAATATTATTCTCAGTTTTAAATTTAAATAGCCCTAATAAACAATGTTATTTAAAATTATATATTAAAATTAAGTACATTGACATTATTATTCTATATAGTGATTTTATATATTTTATTAGTATTATTAGAAATTAAGCATATAATTTTGCTTATACTTTTCATCATGCCATACTTATTCTATACTTATGCAGTTAATTTTACAAATATAATATACCAAACATATTTTAAATAATCTTAATGAACTCTTGAATCCTATTAAAATTAAAGTACAAAAATCATTTAATAATTTATAGGATAATATTTAGAGTTTTAACTATAGGGATTATAATAGTATAGTCTATTCTTTTTAGAAACATGCATATATTTCTTTTGAAAAATATTACCAAATATTTTTGGGGAAAACTGATTTTTTTTTTTCCAAAGTATTATTAGTTATTAAATCAAGGGGGTGAGCTCATATTAAATTTAAAAAAAAAAGATTATTTTTTACCCACCCTTGCCTCTTATGTTATATAACATTTCCATTGACCCCCTCCCCACTGTGGCCCACACAGTTTTATATAACATTTCTAGCAAACTCCACCACTTCTGGCTAACACCAAATGAAGTGAAAAAAAACAAGCAGAAACAAGCACATTTAAGCAAAAAGACAGAAATAATTTGTTACAAAAATGTGCTAAATAGTTGGCAAAAAATAGATTTTAGTTTTTAATAATTTAGGCTAATTTCGTAAATTTGAAAAGCAGAAATTTTGAAAACATAAAAATTAATTTAAAAAATTAATTTAAAAAATTGTCATATAACATTGCTCTAGACCACCCCACGCCCCATGTAACACATTATAACAAAATGATAAACCAGACCCTACCCTATTCATGTTATAAAATATGTTCGTAGTCCCCTAACTTAATGTCAAGATTGTCTCCAAAGATTTATTAAAAATATGCAAGTATATATTTAAAAAAAATTTTATAGTACAATTTGATTGGTAGCCTACACATTTTGTTAGCTTTTTTCCTTGATTAAATCTTATTTGAAAATCTTTTAAAAATTGAAAAAATAAGCACTATACCTATATGAATATCTTTATTCTCCCTAGACCATTGTCTCATTACAACAGCTTGTCTGATAACCATTTATCAGGGTTTTTCAATAACCCCAGGATGCGAAAACATCTTCGAAAGTCTGGTCTGGTGAGGATTCCATACATTTTTGGTGTAATTTTAGACAATACAAGTATTCCCCTTGTTTCAGGTGTAGTGGGTGTTATTTGATAGTTGTTACTACAATCTTTTTTACAATGAGCAAAATTAAGAATTTCTGTCTGAATGACTTATCATGCAACTTAATTTTTAAATGTTTCAAATGTTTCAAATGTTTATAAATTAATTAAGAGCAATTTAAATGTTTATATTATATTAGTTAAAAAATTAACTGATGCATGTAATGAAATGTTATGGTTAAATATTCATTCATTTCTGAATCAATGAAATGAAAAATTATAGACTTATAAGCAGTGATGTTGTCATAAAAGTAATACCAGTAATTAATTTAATTTTAAAGGCACAGCCATGTAAAATAAAATTACTTATTCTTTAAAGCTCCAAATAGCTATATGTTAATCCTGCAAATAACATTTTTCCTTTGATCCTGTTCGCAAGAATATTTCTAAATTAGTAATTTTATCGTTATACAAGGAATTAAATCGTTTCCTTTTTTTGTTCCCACAGATAAATAAAGATGGTTACATTGTATCAGAGAAGATGTACAGACTAAACATGTGCAGAAAAGAGCAAAAGAAACATGTGAAAGATATGATTGCTCAGGCCATTGTTCATAAGACCCTTGATCTGGAGAGGACAAGGCAGGCTGAGATTAGAAAAAAATTAGAAGAAATTGCCAAGATTGAGCTGGTCAGAAACATAAAAGTATGTTATAATTTAATTGTTTTTCATTTTTTGTATTGCCAAAGGAAAGGGACATATTTTAAGATTTAAAGTATGAATTTTAAATATTATTATGTATCTAATGAATCCAATCACATTTCAAATAATTTATTCAACACGTTAAATAAGATTTGGGGGAAAATGATGTGAAAGCCTTTTTTTTAAATAGTTCACCTGAGTATTAACATTATAGTGCTCCCTTTTCATGTTTATTCACTACTGCCAACAACAGTCAAAATTATTTTGAAAAAATATTTATTTTTAGATTGAAAAGCAGATTTATAGCTTTTTTAAACAACAGAGTGTGCACAAAAGAATTTGGTGGATTAATCTTTAACAGTAGATGTGTTACAGATTATATATACTTGACATGCTTTTATAAGTAGGCTGTGATCCTGACTTTACATTTTAACTATCACACCATCTAGTTTAATTAATAGTTATTTAATTTGTCTTCAAAGAAATGTTTACTTTTGAAAAAAGTCATCATCATTTTACAAAAATCAGATTAATGCTTATATTGTGTACAGCCCAAAATATATATTTTAGTCATCAGGAAACATTTCTGTTTCAAAAATAAAAACTTTGGTTTGGATTGAATTTGAATTGTATTATATATGATTTCCTTCATGTTATATATTTTTTATTTATAAAAATTGTTTGGTGTTTGGAGTGGCTCTTGCAAATAGTGACGAAGAACATTAAAAACTATTGTTTTTTCTGTATGTAGTTATGAAATATATGTTCTCTATATGAACATTTTACATTACAAGCTTACTTCCACAACATTAAAGCTGTAGTATCTTACCACCACCACGAGATTGTGATTAAAAGGAAATGTAAACAATTAAAACTGCCTGTTGGAGTCTGATAAAACAGAAACTCCACAATTATTAGTGAGAAACATTGCAATAAACTCCTGTCATTAAATTTGCTTTAAAATTATAGTTTTTTGGGGATCAAATCCAAGCCTTACTTAAACAACCTAGAATTGAATGTTCTGACACTCATGCTGTCATGTCCCCATGTTTCATTGATTATAATTTAACGTAACTGTTTGCCAACTCAATAAAATCCAAATTTACTGGCAAATATTCTAAATCTGTATATTTTTACTGACAATGAACATTATTTAAGGACACTCTTTTAAAATAACCTTACAAAACTAAAAAAAAAAACACATATCTGTTCTACTATGTAATGCCTCTGTATGATTCTATGTCATTTTGCCAGCTACTTTGGAGATGGTGTAGGTGGGTCGTCGAGTTTGCACTCATAATACCCCCCCCCCCACCGGCACTCCCCCAAACGGGCCAGAGCCGAAGCTCCAGACCGTGCGTAAGCGCGCCAGGAACTTCCCTACTGGCCTGTGGGACGTCCGGCGGACCAAGGGCGCTGCATTTAAAGCGTCCATAGTCCACTCTCCTATGGGTCAGCACGGCTTTACTTCCTCTCCAGAGAGGTGGTGTTGCGGTACGACTCCCCACCGCCCAGGGAGCTGTCCGGTCGGGACGAAACGGGAAGAAACGGTCGCCTAGGGGCGGCTTTCTCAGGGCCGCGTCTTTTTAATCATTGACAAGGGTTTGGGCGGCCACCCATTGCCTCATACCCATCAACGGCAACAGTAATCATATTATGTCATTTTACCATCAGGCTTGAGCCTATTTTATAATGTTATTCTAAGGCATGCTCATCACTGGATCTCTCCAGATTTATGCTAATAAAAGTTTAAAGCAAACAAGAATAAATCACAAGCCTAGAGATATACCCTTCTGTTTTTGCTAACTTTTACAGACAGTCATTTTATGTCAAAATTTTATGAACTGTCCGTAAATTTACTGTCGGTTGGCAATGCTATGTTTGACTGAATTTTTTTATAAAACAATTGTATTCAAATAATTATTAGACATAAACTAGTTGTCTCAATTACTGAAGCACTGATTTGCCAATTTAAAAAAACAACAACTTTGTTCTTTAATTGTTTTCAGATGTCCCGTCAAAGAAAAAGAGATGTTGAAGTTCTTCCTTTTATAAATTCAAGGTCAGGATCAAGGCAAAGGACACACTCTAATCCAGCTAATGGCCAGTCGAAGAGGCGCTCAGTAAGTGCGCCATCCAAGAAAGCAAAGAGACCAGTTTCTGAACTTTCATCAAATTATGACGATGATGATGAGGATCTCGTAAGTTGGATTCAATTTAATTTTACCATAGCCACTATGAAAGTTAAATAGCGATGAACTCACTCAGGTTACTTGTTCTTCTTTTTCTATATATTAAGGGCCAACGATCAATTTATGGATCATTTTGGCTCCTATGCATGTAGAGGGGAATTTGCAGTGTTTCTGTGCCTGATTTTGATGAGGATATTTCACTGTTTGCAAGGGTTACTTTGTGAGGGTATCATGCACTTTGGGTTGTAAGGCTTGAGGTAAAAGATGCAAATGTGTCAAGTGTTGTCGCCTCAACTTTTGAAAGCTTGTTCCAGTCAGTGATTGTCTTTGGCAGGAATTAGTAGTTGCTATACTGGCTTCTCGCTGGTATGAGCCGGAACTGCCTGTCATGGCCTCGTCACTGTCTATGGAGAAGAGGGACAAGTTTCTAATTAATGCCGGAACATTGGACCAGCCCATTATTTATTTTGTACATTATGGAGAGCCTGGATAGTCGTAATCGTGCCTCCAATAGTGACCAGCCCAGTGTTTCCAGCATGGTGCCAACACTAGAGGTATTCCTGTAGCAGTTACGGACAAAGCGTGCTGCCCATCGCTGGACCACCTCCAACCTGTCAATGCTTTTTAAGAAAACATATTTCAAGGTATCAAGGTGTCAACGTTTCAGAATAACAAATGGGCTTACTGGAAAGCAATGAGTAAACTATACAAAATAATGTGGAACTAAATTACAAAATTACCAAGTCCAATACAGCTAATGTTGTTCTTGAGACATTTGGTCATGTCGAAAATCATGTACACAAATGTGGCAGTTGGGTCTATTAAATGTAGTAAATTTGCCTTTTATGAGCACACAGGATTCCTGCCATTTGTGAAATATACCTTTGGGCTTAGGTCTTCACTACTACATGCCATCTGATTAAAGAAAAAAGGCCCCTATCTTTGTGTATTATTTGCATCCTGATCCATGCATTCATGTATGTAAGCTACAAAGTTTGTTGCTAATTTTAAATACATTTCTTAAGACATGGCTGGCCTACTCAAATGGTTTCCTAGGGCACTTTGGTACCGAGCAAACCTTTCACATTTATGCCTCATGTCATTACACCTAATATTAAATAATAACAATAAACACTAGCCAAATGCTGTATAAAAATAATTAATTATTATTCTATTTTTCATGCACAAAATGAAATGCAAAAAAAAAATTTATTCAAAAAAAAATTAGTGACTATTGTTTATCTTTTCTCTCACCCAACTTTTAAAAATCTGTTTCTTTGGAAAATTGAATAAAGAGTGAATAGGTTTATTTGTGATGAATCCGGCATCTGCGGGTTGGTAAGCCTTGAGATAAAATAAATGTTATGAGGTCATTTGAATCTATCTATAGTTGTGTTTCAGCTTTTTATTTAGGTTATGATAAGAGTTGGGGGAGGGCATAAACCAAGTTTATTTATTCTTTCTTTCATTGAATTGCACTCAATTGAAAGAAAAAAAAATCAACTCTAAAGAAAATTTTCTTAGGCCTATAATTATTTCTACTGATAAGATATCAGGCTTACTTACTGTATAGTCACAAAACATACCTACCAGGTCCTGGTTTAAGAATGTGTTATGATCATCATCATTGTAATAGTTGAAAAAAAAAAAAGAAGGATTTTTATTGATCAGCCAATAAGCTTTTGAACCAATTCACTGTTATATTGTTGGTTTGAAATATTTAATTAAATGTAAGCCTGCTTGGCTAGGCTTTGAGGAAGTTGGTGGGGAACAAAAGCAATGACAGGGTGAAGCAAATTACAGGGCTTGCAAAAAGAATGGCTGGGGGGCAAAACAAATAATAGTGGTGAAATAGTAAACAAAAAGTATTTATTCTATATATATTCACAAATGTACTGAAAAACAGCTATGAATGATATAAATATATATAAGCATATTATATATATATATAGGGTGGCCCAAGAAAAGGAAAAACATGTCTTACAATGTAATATAATCACATCAAAATTTGTTTGACTGTATCCATAATAGCTTTAATAGTTTACTGATTTACAGACACACCTATTTAACTACATGAAATCATTATTAGGACAATTTTTAATCAGAAGATGGTGTTCTGTTGTGATTTTTGTCATTCTGGTTTGAAATATTTTCAAAATGGGCATTGTTGACAGAAGCATAAAAAAGTGATGCCAACACTTACAAAAAGTTCTTGAGATAAAAAAAAAATCATATTAATTCAGTTAAATTAATTAACCTGTTTGCTACCAGATGTTCTCACTTTTTTGGGGCCACCTGCATATCAGGTGGTAGCATGATGACAGATAACATTTTGAATCAAGGAAAACAGAACTTGCAAACAATTAAAAATTCAAGTCAGTACGCTCTATATGAACTGATAGAATGCCGGAACAGAGGAGAAAATGAGGGAAAAGAAATGTCAATACGCATGAGTTTGTGCAAAAGCCAATCAATAGCTTGACAAGGTTTAAGTGTGAGTAAAGAAATGCAAGGAGAAGGGATGATAGTGGTGGGCTTGTTGCTTAGATAGCGGTAGCCAATCAATATGTCTGATGGAGATGACAGGGGGAGATGACTAAATGGAAATTAATGGGATGGGATTAAGAAACTGGTATAGAGGATACAAAATAATTCACCATCACACGCATATTTACAATGTGTATCTCTTTTACAGATAATAAGGAAATGGATGAATATGAATGGATGAGGAAAGGTTTCAGTATGGGATCTAATGAATACCCAACAGAATGTTTAACCAAAAAAAACAACATGTTTTTTTTATTAGTTTAAAGTGGCTATAATAAGACTTGAGCAATCAATAAGTGATTGTATGACAGAACATAGTCTTTCCATCAGAGGTGTGGGCTGTGTAAGCTAGATCAAAATAGAAAGGTCATGATCTTCTATTGGTTCTGGCTATGCATAGCTTCAACCAATAATAAATGGCTTGCACTCTAATGATCCTTCCTTCATTTTTTAAATTTATTGTTAAATTTGGTATTTTTACTCTTCTTACTGTTTTTTAATTTTTTTTTAGCATTGCCACACTTCCTTTTTTTTTTTTTTTTTTTTTTTTTTTTTTTTTTTTTTTAAAATATTAATTTTTTTTTTAATGTTTAAAACTTTTTTTTTTTTTTTTTTTTTTTTGTTTTTGTTTTGTTTTTTTTTTATTTTTTTTTTTTTTTTTTTTATTTTCTTGTTTAAAAGATAAATTTTTTAGTCAAGGGTCAAAACTTGATTATTTTTTTAAATTATTAAAATCAAAAGAGCTCAAATAAGGTACCTTTAAATTTTGTTTTAAAAAGTTAAATGATTTAAATAAGAACCGCTTGATATAAGGTATCTTTAAAAAAAATTCATTAAAAAAGATGGCCTTTCATCTGCAAAGGGAAGACACCCTTATTTATTTTTGGCTATTATTTCACTTTAAAAATTATAAAATGGATGGAATATAATTCATCAACTGAACTCTGAGTCATGATGTAGTGGTCATGGAAAATAACACTATTCTTTGACTGTCACTCTCAGAGCTCATCTGAGACAAATATTAAAATTTTAAGTTGTAAAGAGAAAGAAAAGACATAGTTTGGCAGAACTTGTAAGCGATATTGGAATGGCTGGGAATGAAAGCGAAAAGAGAAAATATCCCATGAGGCTACATGTTGTGTGCTGGGGAAGAAAAGAAATCAATATGAGTATTTATGGTGTGTATGTCCCATTGAGGCTAGTGGCTTTTTGATACTCTGTATTTGCCAGGGACACACTGTTTGGGAAAGGGGAGCTGAGCCAAACTTAGTGAAGTCCATGAAGCTGCCATCAATCAGGCTTTGTGTTCCTTCCAAAGGGGTTTTTTTTTATCCTGAGTTTTGTACTTTTACACATGGACTTTTGGGGAAGGAAAAAATATATAAAAAAAAGAAAAATAACCTTGGGGAGGGGAAGAAAAGGAAGACAAAATAGTGATACTATACAGAATCAAGTATAAATAAATCTAATTTAGTTTTTATGTCTTAATTTATCTTGACCTAAATTCATAATTGAAAAATAAATTTTAATTTTAGTACTCTAAACAACTGCATGGAAAGAGAACAGCCCTCCTTAAAATTGCTATAAATATTTTATGAATCTGTTAATAACGTCATAAAGAATAGCTGGAGTTGTCACATAGAATAGCTGGAGGGGCTTCAAACAAAATAGAAAAAAACAACAAAGGTTTATTGATTTTTCAGAAATTTTGTAAGGGGAGACTATTTAAAAGCAGAGTGATTAAACTTGTGACTGGTCCATGGGAGGATAATTTTGACACTTAAAATATAAGCAAACAGATCTTAAACAAAAAAACACAACAAATAGGATTCTTTTTTTAAAATCTCACTTCACTTTTATTTTCTTTCAGTCTCCTTAAAATTTGAAAAGGGTTAACTTTTTTTAAATTAAACTTAAACATGTTTATTTTTAAACTAAAAACTTGCTTAAGGTACATATTTGGAAAGCTAACCTTAATACATAACTAGGGCTTTGAATTGAATATAAAGATTAACAGTTTCATAACTCTGTCAGACCTGTTTACCCTCAAACTCTTAAAATCATACAATATCATCACAAAATCGTTCAATACATTATCTTAATAGTAAAAAAATAAACATACATTATATATAATGTATAAACCTCAAAATCGTACATTGTATGCCAAAATCGTAAGAGTAAACAGGTCTGCTCTTTGTCCTTTGTAGAGACTTTTATATTCATGATATTGAATTTCATCATTTTTGTAGTTTTAATGGACCTGTTTTCCGGAGAAGACTTTCTGCAGCTACATTGGGTGTCACTTTTCCAGATAATCCCAGAATTCCGGATTTGCAAGGCTAAATATTTTCATCTCCCGATTTGCGAGTTTTTATTTTCTCTTGCTCCGGATTTGCCGGTTCAGTTTATTCAAATATGAATTCAGGTTTTAAAAAAAAAAAAACAACGTGTAAGAACTTATGAAAGCCTATTCAGTGAGAGCAGGTTTTGCTTTAAATAGAACAGGTACTGCGACCTCTCGATTTTGTTTGCAAGCCTCTCGCTTTCGTTTGTAATCACTGCACAAAAAATTATTTCTACAGTGTATGAATTTGATGAGTTTCGTTAAGTTTCAGAGTTTGAAAAATTTGTAAGTGAAGTTTCAGGTTTCAAGGGATTTTTAAAAAGGGATTTCAGGGTCACAGCTTTCAGGGAGTGGCACCCCTGCTTGTTCTTTTCTAAACCTCCCCTGTACTGTGTGTTATAAATTTCCCTTTTACACAGATCAAACTTGCTCTCCCTATTATTATTCTTGCTTGTTGTTAATAGGCTTTATTTATTTCCTGAGGTTGTGTACCTTGACGATGAAGGGAGACCAATCCCAAAAAGTCATTTCAATGAGCCAGAGGGGCGACTGAGTAAGAAAGATGTCATTGACACCAGAAACTTGTACTCAGTGAGTCTCATCAATTACAATGTATACAATTATAGATGATTTAATATTTAATAACTATTTTGATAAACATTGTTTTAACCATGCGCACACAAAAAATACCAATGAAAACAATAGGAAGACTTTACCTAATATGTAGGGTGGTGGGAAAAGGTGAACAGCTGTCAATAAATTCCAAGACAATTGTTACAATGATGTTATATTATGTTTGAAATATATTCCATAACAAAAACTCAACAGATAGTCATTAAACTGACTCTTTATTTTAAGGCACTGACTTGTTCTGTACTTGAATGTTGTATTCCATTTAGCATGTAAGATTTTCAGAGACAATGGTAAAGTAAAGATTTCAAACAAGATTATGGTTTACGTAATACAAGGTTATAAACAATAAGTGATTTAAATACTTTTATTTGTCTTGACCTTAAAATTGCAACCGACTACCTTTCAGTTGAACCCAACCGCCTTGAGGAAATATGCCTTGCTGATGGCCAAAATGGAGCAGAGCAAAAATGGGCCGGACTCTCCATACCTGGAGCCGCAGGTGCCGCTGCCCCCAAAGTCACCTCGGAGTGGAAGAATGCCCCGAAGTGCCAGGCGGTACATGAGTATCACAGACAAACAGAAGCAATCCTCCCCTCAGCGTCCATCAACAGCTGTAAGTGTCTTGTGTAAGAAATGACGTTCTCCTGACGTCAGTAAGTGCTAAGTTGTACTACTGGGCCCATCGTCCCCCAACCTGTAACCAGTTTGGCTAACTTATGTCTTTTAATGAAATTGATCATAGTTTTATGAAAGAACATCCTGCATAGAGATATGAAACTGTAAATAATATTTATTATAAATGGGTCATTTCTGTATTCAATTTTAAGTAAGTCCTTCTCTTGCTAAAAGTTCTAGATTTGGACTATTTTTGACACTCAAACTGTTTCTTTGTATTTGACTGCCAAAAAAAAAATTAAATTTCTACCCATCTAATATTGAGTAATTACAATGACATCAAATATTTGAGTTTAATTCTGGATCATCTCTCTTTTTCTAATTCATGCTGTTGCTTTTTGGGTTTGAATCAATAATGATGAGAGATTACAGACTTAAGGGGCATTACTTTAGAGTGCACTAATTTGGAGGGTATTAATTTAGAGGGCATTAATTAAGGGGGCACTATTTTAGAGGGCATTAATTTATAGGAAAACAACATAGGCAATACTTTCCTTACAATGAGACTTGGAGTTTCATATGCAGGCACACAGGCAGACAGGTGGCTCTCCGCAACGCCTTCGCGTCCAGCAGGTGCCCAGGTGCCAGATTACCATGTGCTACCTTGGCAGCCAATTAAACCTGGCCAGGGAGAAGTTTGACAAGCAGCAGGAGGTCATCATAGAGCAGCAGCACTGTGGAGGTAACACACTGACTGTCTTCAAGGGCAGGCTGGAGCCTGGAGGTAAGTTTCTAGCAGTTCATTAGAGTATGATGTGTGATGTGCTTATTATATGTAACAGTTTATTAGAGTACGATGTGCGATACGGTAATTATATGTAACAATTAGAGTGCAATGTGGTTATTATATGTAACTGTTTATTAGAGTATGATGTGCATTGTGGTCATTGTATGTAACAATTTATTAGACTACAATGTGTGACATATGTGTAAGAGTTTATGAGATTGACATGTGTGATGTTCTATCAGTGATATTATATGTAAGAGTTTATTAGGGTACTGTGGCAAGGTATAACATATTAAATAAAACTGACAATTTATTGTTGGCTGGTAAAATGTTTGTTTTGATTCATTTTACAACTCAGTTAAAGCTTTTCAAAGTTTTTCTAAGAAATTAAGATAATCTTGACCTTTAAGAGGAAATAAAACATGTGACATCCCTGTGTAATACAAAGTTGTGGCTTTTGATAAAGCTTCCAAACTGTTAACCGTTGCTTGTTTGCGTGTTTGACTGGTTTTCAATTTTCTCTTAGAGAGCTGGACACAATGCAAGCATTTCTTTAGCAAAGTAAAGTAAACACACACATAAAATCAATCTTCATGTCAACTTGATACGGTTATTCCAGAGGAGTTTAGCTTCACGTCCTACCGCCACTGCGGCTACCCGTTCGCCCTCACCATGTACATCGACGGTCAGACCGACTCCCGCATCAGCACTTGTTGCGAGTACCGTCACAGGAAAGGGTGCCGGGTTTTCGGCAAGAACGGCCACTTCAGCTTAGTGGAAATCTCTGATGACGCAAGTCCCTGTTACAAGTGAGTTCTAACATGGTGAGGTGGAGCTTTTCCCCCAGGAAACGGGCTCTGCAGTACGTTCATATTATGTTAATTTTCTTGGATTTGATGAAACTTCACAAAGAGTGTGAAGTGGCTAATGCTGAATGTCAGTCTCACAATAATATGCTCAGTAAATCACCTTTCATGTCAATGAAATAAAATTAAATATTGTTTAAAAATGAGAAATGAAAGGGAAAAAAAAAAGAAAAGAAAATGAGGAGGAAAAAAAACAAGAAAAAAGGCATAGTAAACTTTTTGCCTGGGACAGCAGAATTTTATTTTGCAATGATTGGCCTACTTGTGTTGGTTTACAACACTCATTTTTATTTTCCGTTTTTTAAATTAACTTTTGGATGTTTCATTTGTAATTGTGAAGATAACTGCTCTACATGTGATCAGATAGCTGAGATAACACTAAGCTCATAAAAAACAGCAGTGAGACATCACTTTCACAACATACAACATTATTGGGTTGTTAAACTATTTGATAGAAAATTATTTTCAAATCTTTGCAGATAAGAACATGTTCATAGTTACTGTTTCACGGGTGGATATAAATGGTAGTTAACTGGTGGTACTTAAGCTTATGACCAATTCTGGTCTACTCCTTTGACCCAGTGAGGGATTTGCGTTTCTGTTTGCACTTATTGCAGGTGTCAAGTTGAGCATGGCCTCAAAGATAAGAACAACCCCAAGGGGAGTAAGCCAAAGAAAAATCAGCAGCCAGTGGAAGACCAAGAAGAAGTTGTCATCCCTGAACAGAAAAAGGAGGAAACTCCGAGGGACGAAGAAGAAGAAGACGATCTGATAGGTTGTGAATATGAAGGCTAATCATTTGTTTTAAAGGATAAATCAGGGTTCTCCCAACCTTTTGTATATTGTGCACCCTGTACAAACTGTTTGACTAAGTCTCCCACCCTGTACAAACTGTTTGACTAAGTCTCCCACCCTGTACAAACTGTTTGACTAAGTCTCCCACCTTGTACAAACTGTTTGACTAAGTCTCCCACCCTGTACAAACTGTTTGACTAAGTCTCCCACCCTGTACAAACTGTTTGACTAAGTCTCCCACCCTGTACAAACTGTTTGACTAAGTCTCCCACCCTGTACAAACTGTTTGACTAAGTCTCACACCCTGTACAAACTGTTTGACTAAGTCTCCCACCCTGTACAAACTGTTTGACTAAGTCTCCCACCCTTTACAAAAGTAACACTAAAATTTTAAAAAATCAAAGGGTATAGAATGACTCTCTTGGCTGACAATTTTCCTCTGAATATACCCAGAAAATATCTGGTCACTTTCCTGCCTTTCGGCTGATTAGATATAATGTCAAGATATAGTGTCTGTTCTTATCCTGCCGGGTTACTTAACCTGTGGGAGGAACGTGATATCTCGCTTGGTTTCCGCCAGGTTTGGGGCAATAAGTTAAACAAATGAAATAGCCTGCAAGAAACCTGCAAGGGCAGATTCTGAAGGGGGACTACCCCAGTATTGCAGTACTTAATAAAAAAAAATAATTTAAAAAGTATAAAATAAAATAATAACTTTTCCTCTGACTCCCTCAGATGCCGCCCTGGGCATGCCTCACCCCCAGTTTGAGAAGCCCTGGTTTAGATGAATGTCTCAGTGGTTCAGTTCTGAGCTGCTTTGAAATGTTATAATAAACTGTTAATGAAGAATCATAAAATCATTGATGCTCACGTGGGGGGGATGAACTCGACTCGGGAATTCATTTAAGACTATTACCATAATTTGGGCTCTTTTAGGAAAAGATTACCTCCATTACCAGGTATTTGAACTGTACAGCCACTTTTAATGAAAAAATTTGAATCCTGGTATATTTATGTTTGATTTGAAACAAGGACCACATCAGCATTGTCAAGAGGAAACTGCAATAGTTTTCATAGTAGTAAAAAGTTTCTTGTGCTTCACCCTGGATAACATTCTGAGTGAAATGTAATTTTTGTTTCATTCTTTAGATGGACCACCAAAGCGCCATCTTGAAGTGCCAGTTGAAGATGATGATCCCAAAGACAATGGTAGGACATTCTGCTAGACCCCGTAGCTTGGGGTTCATGCAAATTAATTATTTAAAGTATATATATATATATATATATTTTTTTTTTTTTTTTGAATGACTGGTTGGTTAATTAACCCAGTGCCTCAGAAAAGGCCAGACGGGCAAAAACAACAGCAGCTCTCCGAGTGAATGAGACTGATAAACTTGGGTGGTCACCCCATCTAGGAAAAGGAAGGTCTGATAGCAAACCTCTGCTGCTCTGCTAGACCCCGTAGCTTGGGGTTCATGCAAATTAATTATTTAAAGTATATATATATATATATATATTTTTTTTTTTTTTTTGAATGACTGGTTGGTTAAGTAACCCAGTGCCTCAGAAAAGGCCAGACGGGCAAAAACAACAGCAGCTCTCCGAGTGAATGAGACTGATAAACTTGGATGGTCACCCCATCTAGGAAAAGGAAGGTCTGATTGCAAACCTCTGCTGCCTTGCGGAAATTAACCCAGTGGTTAAAGGCTAAAGGAGGCGAGGCCAACAGAAAAGGCTGGAGATGGCGTCCAATAGGTGTTATGACATTGACTCAATGAAAATGCTGGCAACCTCTGCAACACCCATTGTGCCCAGCTGCATTGTCCAATCCATGTTCCCTTGGGTTCACCAAATGCATTGAGGGGGGATATCTGATGACAAGGAACCAGCTTATACTCCTAACGAAATCCCAGGCCTTGTGACTTGCCAGAACCCCACCATGGACTTAATGAGATGGACAGTAACCAATGAATTCCTTTTGCCATAAATCCTATTTCAAAAGGTGATTTATGATCCTTGACTGAACCTCTCCAGGACAAATTTAATTGCTTGCCAATTTTTCCATCACCTTCTAACCAGGGTAAACTATTAATAATTTGTTTCCCCTCCCAGGAAAGTATGATGACGACGACTTTGAGTCCAGCAGCAGTGACGGCGGCAGTGAAAGCAGCAGCAGCAGTGACAGCAGCAGAAGCAGCAAGAGAAGCACCAAAAGTCAGAGTTCAAACTCCGAGTCTGACAAAGGTAAGCTCTTTCTCATTGTTTTATTAACGGTTCTGCTCACAGTTTTAACAGTCACAAACACTTGATTGCGGCCCTTCTGTTACTGAGCATTTTTCAACTTTCTGTAACCACAGCTTTTTATCACTGAATTGATTGGGGCCCATTGCTGGGAAATGTCAATTTTTGGGGTCATATTTGCAGACTGCCATTATATTAATTAGACATGAACAATTTGTGTCAATAAAACAATACATTTTCAGCTTTAATAATAATATTACATAATACACAAGTAAACGTTTCGGCACACGCCTTCATCAGTACAACAACAAAACATTTAAATAAGTATAAATTAAATTTACATAATATGTATATATACATGTATCCTACCTAAAAGATAAAAAAAGAATAGTAGTGGGAGCAAAACCCAGACAAAAACAAAGTAAATAACAGAAAGGATGTGAGTGGAAGTAAAATGTAAAAACCAAATGGGGAAAAGACATGGCAGCCATGTAAAATTGTGGATTTGGTTTATACCCTATGGCGTCGATGTACCAAATCTTGTCATCAATTTATACACTCTTATAATTAGACTCCCATTATCTTTTTTGGTTTTTAAAGCTGACCAAGCAATGCCTAAAAACAACAGCAACCTCAGCAATGAATTAAGTTTAAGATGAATCTAATCAAGGTCAAATAATTCAAACTAATTTATGAAAATTTGGTAAAAAAAAGTCAACCCATCTCGCCTTCCTTTTTATTTTACATAATGAAAATGAATAATCACCATGTGGTGCAAGTTGGAGGCATAGAGACCAATGAGTGGTTCTGCTGAAACAGCTCAGGTGTGAGATTGACGGCTCTGATCTACAAAAGATTTAGGTTCTACTCCCCCCATTATTTTATTCCTAGAAAAGCCGTTAAAATTAAAATTTATGTATTAACACTTGAAAAATAAACAAACCTTAAGGCAACCTTTTTTTTTTCCCTGCCTCAATGCACTTGCAAGATGATTCTGCAATGGAAATAATCCTGATAAAATGAATTTTACACATTTAAAAAAAAAAATTTTACGATTTAAAAAAAAACTTTTTTTAGATACTTGATCTCATCTTTATTTTTTCTGATTTTAATTAAACTGTCCAACATCTTCTCTCAAACACCTTTAGATAAGAAACCAAATTTAATCACTTGAAACTTAGTCATAACATTTAGAATGTAAAATAACACAAGGACATGGTAACAGAACAATACAGGCACGCAACTGTAACACAATCTAACAACACACATTAGCACATGACAATGATATAAAAAAAATCTGGGTGACATGCCTATATTAAACAACTGTAACACAATATAACAACACACATTAGCACATTACAATGATATAAAAAAATCTGGGTGACAGGCCTATATTAAAGCAGATTGTGCCAAATTTCTGTTAAAAATAAGCATTTTTCTCTGAAATAAAACATATGCTGCCATGCCTAGTGGTTGGGAAATAAATACAGTTTTAAATTTAGTTTAAAATTCCATGGAAATCAGGTCTTGAGAACTATTGCTTTATAGGCTCTAAGAAGGAGAAACAAAGCAAAGAAAAAGGACAATACAAAGCGGCCAGGTGGACCGATGAAATAACTTAGAGCTACTTTTCAAAAGTGAATGGTTCAGACTGGACCTCCTTGAGATATGATCCATGCGGACATATTGTATGGTAACTACATTAGAGTCAGAATCAAGAGGAGGACATATGTTACTTGGTGCCAGGTGTTGACCTTGGGACGCTTAGTCACCACGTACGAGTGAAACTTGCCTGAATAGTTCCCAGCACACACAGCTTTGGGCTACTTTAAAGTTTCAGTGGGTGTGCACACGTTATACCATAGTCCATGGTTAAATACAGAGCGCCTGTTATCTTTTGCTTATAAGGTGGCCACCCTTGGCAACACATATTTACAAAATATGATCTTGTAAATGTAGAACTGTGTTCTAAACACTGCCACACTCATCATTTGTCAAGAACTTTGTTTCAGGATCAACATTTCAGCTTAATTTTATTTTTTTTCCTTTCAGAATGAGTGTTTCTTTGGAAGACATTTTCCGTGACCCCCCTTTTTTTTATTACTACATTGTTACAACACTCCATAACTATATACATCTTTTGTTTATAGCTGATTTTGATACACATTTATTGCATCAGATAATGACGCTATTGCTTTTTTATTATTCAAACACATTTAGTGGGAGGAAAAATAGCAGTCTTAGCAGTCTATCATATTTTAACAAACAATGAAATTAATTTTTTTATTCTTAATATTTTATTAATCCTAAACATTAACTTCATAATTTTGATTGTAAGTTGCCATGTTTGAGAATTTTGAAAAGAACGAATGTGTGCGTAGGATTTGCTGACTGACCTACAGAAGCAAAAACATGGTTTTAATTAGCTGTTTGCTAGTGTGTATGAAGAGCTTGCTTAAAAAAGAAAAACAGATATAAAAATTATACATGAAAAAAACCAACTAATTTTAATTTTTGTATACTCATCATGAAGGAGTATTAGGCTGTATTTAAACACATTTTTAAAAAAAATCACAGTTTATCCATGTCAATAGTCTGCTTAATTTGAATAAGTTGAAATTGAAGACTGTAGATTGGTACCTAGCACTTGAATTACAATGCTACGTTTATGAATGTGCTTTTACTATTTAAAAGGTAGCATCCTCTAGACTTGCACAAAATGAGAGAATAACTTTAGCTACAGTGCTTTGCTTGCTGTTTAAAAGTAGGCTAGTTGAAGGGGTTTTATTTGATATTGTATAATGAAATTATTTAAAGCAAAAAAATACAAATAAATTTACTCATGGCATCATTGTTATTATTATTTTTAATATCATAGCAAAGCTCCTTTAAATTAAAAAGTGTTTGACAAATTACAACTTGTAACCCAAATGGGCTATAGGAAATAATTTTATAAAAAAGTTGCTTAAATTTATTTATCAATTATTTATGTCAGTGTTTAAATTTTTTATCTAAAAATAAAAAGACACAAGGTACGACGTCTATTAGTTAAAAATATGGGTCCAACGGACACGTAAGTGTAGGGAATGTTTTGAGGAAACAATATCTTAATGGCATATTTCAGAAATGTGACACCTGTTTCTGGATTTCTTTACATTTTTTTATATCAACACTCTCCCCACGACCGGGGACATTTATGTATGCATGTCAACCTTTTTTCATTCACCTTTGGTCACTTCAATGCCTGTGTCACATGCTTCTTTCACTTTGAAACCCTTCAGGAGCTGACATCACACTCAACTTGTAAGGTTAGTTCATCCTTTCATGTTTCTATTGGCATATTTGAAGGGAAATATTCATTTGAATGAACATTTAAAAAGCATGTCTGTAAGATGTAAATAATTCATAATGCATTTATTTTATACCCTTTGAGTTTACTCCTATGAGTGTAATCAATTCCATTTATTTAAAAAGTTTGAGGAATAAAGAAAACCAAGCTTAGAAAATTTCAAATTAAAATTTGCTAAGAAACAACATTTTACCTCTTACTAGGAATAGTTTTACAATAATTTTTTAAAAATTAATTTTTTTTAAAAAAACCTCTTTCTGGACAGATTTACCAAAGACCCAAGGCAGAGAATTCATTGAACAGACAAATATAAAGATTGAAATTAATAATTGCAATGATGAATCAAGCATTGAGTCTTTATACAATAATGACCAAGGAAATGATGGCAGTGCCTCGTCTGAAAAGAGCAGCAGCACAGATGTTGAAAATGAGCACATTAAGGCAAGCCTGCAGCATCTTTCATACTTGAAATATCCAGACAAGGAGACGGGTGTCTACATTGAGAAGACAATTGAAAGTCCAACATCAACATCTGGCTCGGTTGAAGACAAACAGGAAGTGATGTCATCAAACAACACTCTGAGCTGTAAAGTTAGCAAAAAAGTCGGGAGGAACATTTTGCCAGTGAATGCAGACTTGGCAGACACGGCTGATGAAGTGTCAGACATTGAGTCAGAAATAGCTCTGTCCCCAGAGGCAGATGGAAACTCTGTCCAGTTCTTCGGAGAGAACCATGTTTGTAAAGAAGCTGTTGAAGATTGGGGCAGTGGCAAAGATACTGGTCACGTCAGCGATGCAAAGACAACAGAGAAAAAAGGAGAGCAGCATAAGAAGAAGAAGACTGCAAGTCGAGATAATGTGAATGTAAAGGCAGGGGGACTAACCCAACATCAACCAGAGCAGGGCACTGATGGGAAGGGAAAAGTTTTAAAGAGGGTAAGAATAAAAGAAACTCTGGCAGGCAAAACTGAAGACACTCATGTGGCGAAAGCTCACAGATTGGAACAAAGTGACAAAGTTGACAATTCTGTTGATAGAAGTGAGACCAGGAATGACAAGGAGAGACTAAAAAACCAGAAAAGACGTAACAATGATAGGAGAAGATCACTCAGCTCTAAGTCACAAGGATCCGCCTGGGAGCTGGAAGGGGGAAACCCAATGAGAGCTGGATTGAATGGGGAGATTAACACAATACCCATGGCCAAAACTGGTCAGAATAAATATCTGAGAAGGCAGGAACAGAAAGAGGCCAGAAGGCTAGAGAAAAAGAAGTCCAAGGTTAAGGCAGTTAAAGACACCAAAGACGGTGCGGGTAAAAAGTACAAGGACTTGAGTCCTAAAGAAAGGGTCATACCAGGTCACTCGTGGGACAGCGACGGCGGCAGCTCAAGAGTAATTCCTTGCAATGGTGCCAGCAGCACTTCAGAACAAGCGGAGGAAGTGTTTCACATTGACACGGCAGAGGGGCATAAAATGGTGGAGTTAAGCGAAAGTTTGGTCCAGGAGAGCATTCCGCAGTTCAGTGTTCTAAATGGGGGAAATGGCGCGAGGACGGTGGTGGCATTAGAGTATGAGGTTGACCCCAAATTTCGATATGCCACAGGGGTGGCTGACTCAAGACTGAAAGATGCTTTGAGGCAAGTGCCTACCCGTGATTTGCCAGGTCAGGAGGAGGAGGACTGCCAGTTCAAAGATGGGAGTGTGGATGGTCAGGTTGATCCCTCATCACTGCACGTATCAGACCTGTCGAGCACACACATCAAAGACAACCAAGTCAGTGGTCCAAAATACAAGCCTTGTAAAGCCTCTCAGGCTCAGCCCACTGGGCAGTGTGATGTGAGGTTAAAATCCAGTCAAACTCAAAGTCTAGTGAAACAAAGGAGAGGTAAGTATGATAGAGTGGATGAAGTGAGTGAACACTCAAGCACTCAGACGGACACTCAAGATAAAGTGCACGGCGGCAATGTCATTATCGGTCTTGAAAACATTGATGGGCCTGGCCGAAATAAAAATGTTGCAGAGAGATTATTCACTCGAGGGGAAACCACAGGCCATGGCTTAGCTGATGACAAGTCAGAGATAGACAAGGAAGAAAGCAACACAATTTTTGAAGATGATGTGGGAGGTGTGAAAGGAGACACGGATCTGGATTGCAGCACTCCAGCTGAGAGTGGGATGAAAGATTATATCAGCGGAGGAGGTACTATTAAACATCAACCAGAGAACGGGTCACTTGATATCAACATGGGACCAGAAGGTCAAGGGGTAAAAAAAACTGAAAGCCTGCCCCGGTTTTTCTCAAATGACAACCAGGATACAGAGGCGTACAACACATCAGCTGTGATAGTCAGGACCAGGTATGTGGAGAAAGAAGCTGACCGCTACGTCCGGCATCACAGAGCATTTGATGAGCCCCCCTCGATTGAAAACAAATTCTTTGTTGATGCCGGCGAAAAAATATTGATTCTTAGTCCGCAGAGCCCAAGTGAAATCCAGCCGGATGCCGAGCCGGTTGTGTTCTCAATTCTCAGACCTGGGGATAGGCACGGTGGTCCCATCATCAGACCCGCTCTGCAGAGGAAACAGTATAAAAACTATGAGGAGAACCCCAATGTCCGAAGTGAGATTTTAATTCCTGATAAACTTGATGAGATGACGGTCAAGTGTGATGATGATGATGAGATGATGGCAGAGGATGATAACTGGGAGGACATTCAGCTGTTGCAGGACATTGTTCAATCAAATATAGGGATGGCACGTCAGGAGGATGTTGGACGTGAAGGCAGAAATTGGTACGAGGTGAATGATGATACCAGTGCAGTGTCTTCTACAGGCAACCGTGAACAAATAAGATTGCCCAGTCATGGCAGTCATTCTGAGATAGAAGCCAGTGACAGTGAGGAAAGCAATGACAATGATGGTGTTGATAGTGACAGTGAGGGAGATGACAGTGACCGCAGTGGGAGCAGCAGTGATGATGCAGGGGGTAGTGAAGATGACACCAGTGAAAGTGGAGATGATCAAAGATGCAGTCCAAATGACATCATCCATGCCATGGAAGAATTTCCTAGAGGTCCTCAACTTATGACCAGTGACATAGGACAAGACACCATAAGTGCGGAAGACATCCCAACTGGCGGAATAGAAAAGGGCATCCAGGATGATGAAGAGTTGATAATGATTGAAGATGAAAGCATCAGGTATGAGGAAGAAAGCAAGAAAACAGGCACAGATCCAAAACTGGCCAACTTAACGACAGATGCCAACAGCATGGCCATGTGCGCTAGAGATAAAGTAGCCACAGAACCTGAAGATCTGACCGGCGGCAAGGATGGGTTCCCAATAATAGAGATCTCAACAGTGAGTTATTCAAACATTGAAACATATGAAAGCATGGACTACTCGGAACTTTTGAGCGGGGCTAAGAATACTGACAGGAAGCAGACTTTACAGATCCCAATGACCCATAACTTTGAAGACATAAGCTATTTTAAAACAAGACCTATTTATGACTCGGGCTGTCAAAATTTTGACATTTTGCCAGCTTTTGGCCTTAATGGGCAATATGGCATGGGGTCAGCAGAATCAACTCTCAGACAAGAGAGAGAACAGACTAAAATAGACTCAGAGGAAGACAGCAGTAGCACTTCTTGTAGCACCAAAGGGTCCCATGAGCAATCCGTAAAGTATAACGATGGATTTGAAAAGGATTCAATCGTTAAAGAAATAAGGGAGGCCAATGTGAAGGATGCTTATCCAACAGATCCTGGCCACCAAGGTGAGTCTCACGTTGAGACTGAAGAGGGGCCTAGCAAAGACTTGGAGGCCATTGACAGAACTTTCAGTGCAATCTCTGCCGGGGAAAGTGATGAGACTATCATGAACAATGAGGATCACAGCGGAAAGAGCAGCGTCAGTGCTCTCATAGCGTGTCTGGAGGAGCAGCTCGTCACAGGGGACTCGGTGCATTCTGGGTTTCAGAGTATCAGCACAGGAAGCACTAGAAGCAGCTTTGATTTGGACCATGATGGGGACTACTTTGAAGATGGTGATGGTGCAGTGGGATGTTTTAATGATATGTTACCTGATAGTGTGATTTACACAGTAGAGTCATCTCCAGGTGGACATGAGTCATATCCTAGTGTACGTTTGACACCAACAGGTGTAGATGAAACATCTGCATATGTGCATGGGACATCTACAGGTATACATGGGAATACTACAGGTTGTACATGAGACATCTACGTGTGTACATGGGAAATCTGAAGGTTGTACTTGGGACACCTAAATATGTATATGAGACATCTATATGTGTACATGGGACACCCATATGTGTACATGGAAAATCTACATGTGAACATGAGATATCTACAGTTTTACATTGAACATCTACATTTTACATGGGGCATCTACATGTGTGCATGGGACATATATTTGTGTGTGTGAGCCATCTACAACTGTACATCGTACATCTATCTATGTGTGTGCATAGGGCAATACTTGTGTACATGGGACATCTACATGTGTACATGGGAAACCACATAAGACACCAACAGGTGTATCTGTGAAATCTACAGGTGTAGATGGGACATCTGAACAGGTGAAGAATCACAGACCTAAAAATCCTGCAGCATCTATGAACTGTTCTGGGACATGTTTAACAACATAGAGAACCCCATTGCCTATGAACAAGTGTCTATATTTAGGGAGAGTACTTCATGCACTGAAGAGGATTACCTGTAAAAGGAAATAATCCTTGAGATAAGAAAATTTTAAGACTTGATACCATTTATTGATGAATACATGAACAAGGGTGGGAAGAATGCAGGGAAACATTTTTAGTTTTTTAAGAAACTGACCTCTACCTGACACTTTGAACCACATTTTTCTTGCTGGGCCATGGCTTAATGACCTGCCGGGCCATGGCTTAATGACCTGCCGGGCCATATCTTAATGACCTGCCAGGCCATGGCTTAATGATCATCACCATTAAAATAAATGTATTTGCCAATCATTGTAAAACAAGTAGAAATAGTAAAAATTGATTGAATCTCTCACCACCACTTGATTCTATGTAGTGTGTGGAGCTGCTGTTTGGTTTGATAATTTAGATGTGTTGGACTTGCCAAAAAGGACATTGATTCTTGTGTGAGGATGGACTTCCAACTCACACAGAGTTTGTGTCAATTTTATTTTAATATTCTGGCCAACTTTAGGACAAGGTAACAAGGGGCTTACTTTTTTAACTAGCCCATTTGTTTTAAATTTGTTAACTTGGTGCAAAATCCAAATTTTATTTAAAGGGGTTCAGCACAAACCATACCAACCTCCATACTTGTTACCAAGTTGAGTCCCATCAGTTTATAATAGATGTGCTGAGTTTTATTTTAGGCTAAATGATATAAAAAAAAAAAAATTTCAATAAATGCAAACAAGGACCCCTGTGCTTCTCAGGTTTTTAAAAAAAAAAAAATAGTTTTTCATTCCATGGTTCAAGACCCAAAATTTTTAGAAGCTTTGCTTTCATTCATTTTCTTCCCAGTTACATACTTTCATTTGAAATTTAATTGGATTTCATTTCAAATGTTCAATGCGCTAAAAATAGACTAAAACTAAATCTCAATTTAATCTTCTTGAGTGAGATTTAAAAGGTGAGATGGCTTTGTAAAAGTGAACATAAATTCACCTAATAAAATGTGTTATTATATCTTCTGGTTGAGTTATCTATAGATGTTTGTTGTTGGTGAGTTGAAGCAGAGCTGAAATAAAATTAGAGCACACTCGTAAATAACCAGCAGGTCTTTCTTGGCAAGACCCAGGATTCACGAAGATGAGATAATTTATATCTATTCTAAGACATAGCACAAATTAAACTTGCAAAATGCTTATTTGTTTTTTTTAAAAGTAAATAAATCTTCTCATTAAGAAAATTAAAATAAAAAAAAAATTCGCCATACAACTGTGTCATACAATTTAATCTGGGAGCAGACTCTTATCAAACATTGAGCTGAATTAGGCATAACTTTGATTATCATTGAAATTCTTACCTGTTTTCACTTAAGCTGCTACTGTATTCCTGGAAATTTATATAATTTTATTGAGATTCTTAAGCAGTGGTTCTCAACCTTCCTAATGATTCGACCCTTAAATACAGTTCCTCATGTTGTTACGACCCCCAGTCATAAAATTATTATTGTTGCTACTTCGTAAATATGTGTTTTCCCGATTGCAGACCTGTTTACCCTCAAACTCTTAAAATCGTACAATATCATCACAAAATCGTTCAATACATATCTTTATAGTAAAAAAATAAACATAAAGTATATATAATGTATACACCTCGAAATTGTACATTGTACGCCAAAATCGTAAGAGTAAACAGGTCTGCGATTGTCTTATGCGAACCCTGTGTAAGGGTCATTCGACCCACAGGTTGAGAACCGCTGTTCTAAAGCTTTTCATGGGCCAGTAGCAGACAGGTATCGCCTGAAGTTTAGAATTTTAACAAAATTAAAATCCAACTTCTAGGTACCCACTTAATAACTAAACAAAAAAATGCTACAATGTTTTTCAATCCATTCTCCTGGTTGTTACAGCACAGTTTTCATGACAGACTAATTGAGATCTGAAGCAAGTTTAAATTAATATGTTTTTTTTAAAAATGAAAAAAAAAAGCAAAGACTTAATCATTTTTGCAGTGATTCCAATTAAAGAATCATTGCTGTTAACTCTCTAAAACAAATCTTTATCTGCTGTGGAAAGAAACTAAGAAAAGAACTTCTGTTCGTCATCAATGTAATAAACACTTATCTGAGGAGTGGTGCATTGTTAGGGCCTCCATATAACAGTATCTATTGCTTGCCATCAGGGGCCACAATTGCTCTTCATCAAGGGACACAGCTGTTGTCAGATACTTGGAGCATACAACAGTGACTATGGGTGCCCATCAGGGGGAAAAATTGCTGTCAGATACCTGGTCCATACAAAAATAACTATGTTTGGTCATCAAGAGGCAGCTGCTGTCAAATACCTGGACCATACAATTGTGAATATGGTTCGCCATCAGGGGCCACAATAATTTGCTGTCAGATACCGTGATGTGTGATGTTGACGACAAATATACACCACACACCCCCCCCCCCACCCCCAACAACAACAACAAAAAAAATAGGAAGGCCCAACAGGCAGATAAAACAGCTGGACTTGAGGATCTAGATAGTAAATGAGCTCATCTCTATTTCTTTATCAGGGGCCACAATAATTTGCTGTCAGATACCGTGATGTGTGATGTTGACGACAAATATACACCACACACCCCCCCCCACCCCCAACAACAACAACAAAAAAAATAGGAAGGCCCAACAGGCAGATAAAACAGCTGGACTTGAGGATCTAGATAGTAAATGAGCTCATCTCTATTTCTTTTTTTCTTTCAGATAATCAAAAGAAGCAGGAGAAAGGAAAACCGACCGGGGCCCAGCACAAAATGATAGCGGTCCAAGACAAAAAAAGTAGTGACAGCAGTGACAATGGTAAGAAATGACGGAGGAAACTGGCTTGGCGGCAGTGTTAGTCGGCAGTAATTTAATGATAAAAACAAAAGCTCTTGAAACAGGGACCTTTTGGGTGGATGATGGGTTAAACTTGCTTTGTGGTTGACTGGTTAAACTTGGTTTGTGGATGACTGGTTAAACTTGGTTTGTGGATGACTGGTTAAACTTGCTTTTTGGATGACGGGTTAAACTTGGTTTATGAATGATGGGTTAAACTTGCTTTGTGGTTGACTGGTTAAACTTGGTTTGCGGTTGACTGGTTAAACTTGGTTTGTGGATGACTGGTTAAACTTGGTTTGTGGATGACTGGTTAAACTTGGTTTGTGGATGACTGGTTAAACTTGGTTTATGGATGATGGGTTAAACTTGGTTTATGAATGATGGGTTAAACTTGCTTTGTGGTTGACTGGTTAAACTTGGTTTGTGGATGACTGGTTAAACTTGGTTTGTGGATGACTGGTTAAACTTTGTTTGTGGATGACTGGTTAAACTTGGTTCACTGCTTTAAGTTTTTGTTTTTGATAATTGTGTACCAATTAAATATTTACATTAATTTAAAGCTTTGAGCTCTGAAAATTATTACACAGCACACAGTAAAATTATGAGGTAATGTAGCGGAAGTTTATCTCCATATGACCTCCCAAAATCACAGATTACATTTTTTCACATATTTTTTTTTTTTGGTATTGAAAATTTCACGGGCTATTAGGCAAAGCACAAAGAAAATTGTTGCATTATTTTTTTTTCCAGAAGACAACAGGAAGAAGGCTGACAAAGGCAAACACAACGAAACCAAGCAAAGTGTTGTACCAGTCAAGGGAAAGATGGACAGCGACAGCAGTGATGAGGGTATGGTTTGAAGGATAGTGATAATTTCAATTAATTTTAAAAACATTAATTTGCGGTCGAAATTGCCTCTGGTATTATAGGTACTGTGAAACTCAGTGGCGCACACCTTCTGCACACATCGAAAAATGACGCAAAAACTGTTTTGGCCATTTTGCATTCAGATCGGGGATGACTTTGTTGTTATGCGTCACAGTTTTCTATTAATACTACATCTTAATCCATTATGGGCAAATGTTAAAGAATAATATAAAAGCTTAATTTAGTTATGAAAATTTTATGTATGTTTTTATTTTTTTTTAGGTGTGAAGTGACACTAAGTGGGGGTTTTTTTTTTTTTTTTTTTTTTTTTTTGTTTGTTATGGTGCGTAGGGGGGGGGGGGGGGGGTGTAAAGGATTTGTGACACGTTGACGAGGGAGGGGTGGAGGTAGGGGGTCTGAAAAGGTCATTTTTTTGCATGTGGTAATTTGCGAACAACCCCTTAAAGCTCATCCCCGGTTACTCAAAGGTGTATTTTATCTAAATGATGTACAGAATGTCTTATCACTCATGTTTACATCACATGACATTGGCTCAGCTATTTTACTAATATTTTATAATTACAGAGTTCTCAGTCAAGAACTCAGTCAAGAAAATGAAAGAAAAGAGTTTCCAGAGCAGAGGCCAGGAAAGTGTTGTCACTGAAGTGAAAGACAGCGACAGTGAAGACGGTAAATAAATTCATAAGTTCATTAAATATTGTAATAAGAACACATTACTATAAAATATCAAGAAATACAAATTAGTTTATGTTATTAATGTTTCATTTATTGCCAAGTTGTTTTTTCTAATCCAAGTACATTCAAATCTTATTTTTTGTAGAAAACATTTAATTTGATTGCAAATAAAACACAGAAATGATATCTAGGTGACATTATTTTGAGTAAGCATTATTTTCACTACAATGGTCTGCTTCTAGACTTTTTGTCCCTGAAATTTACAACTTTCCCTTGTTGAAATGAGTGAGGCATCTGATAGTGGGTCATTGACCATTGACATCAATGAATATTTGTAACTCTTGCAGTCAAATTCCAGTAAAGTCTATTCATGATTCTGTTTCCCAGAGAGAAAAGTTTCTGTTACTGTTAAAGCAACTGAAAAGAAATCCTACGAGTCCACACTTTTGATGGAGACCAGCAAGTCGACTGTTACAGGCAAGAAAATGGAGCTGCAGGACTCACCGAGGGTAAAAAACCCGGAACATTTTAATTTAACCTCTCAGTTAACACACAAAAAAAAAGGTCTATGTGCAAGCAGTTGTATTTTTGTGACAGTATATTGGACATTGCTGTTAACTTTCTATTCACTTAAGTAACAATAGCAGTGTCCATCATTTTTGTTTGGCTGAGTAAATTTCAAAATAAATTTTTTCTTTAGTCATAAGCCAGTTTCCTAAAATGATCAAATGTTTAGTTAGAGTGGTGAGGTGTTGAAGAAAATCTGGCATATAGTGATCAATGTTAAACTTAATTCAATCCAACTGACAGCTGAAATACTCTGCTCTGTCGTAAACTAAAACTCCATTTTTATACAATCACAATAAATTTCAGTAATTTTCAAATGTTAGGTGAAAGAAAGGCAGATGAAGAATAAATAATTTGATAGTTAACAGACAGACAGTAATTTAAAGGATCACGCAGAATAGGACCAAAGAGTGGTCGAGTTTTAACACTTTAGCCGCTTAGATGTGTCTGAAGGTATAGAATGTTCACAATTTCTCTTTGGTGTCTTACTGAATTTAAAATGGATGACAAACTTTGGCAAAATATTTTTTTCAGATTTAAAGTTGAGGTCATTACATTTTTTTTTCTTCTCCAACCTAGCAGTACTGCTAACAACAAATATATTTTCACACAGAGTCAAGGCTCAGCATCCAGCAGTTCATCCAGTTCATCCAGCTCTGGATCTGTGAGGAGACGGTCCATACAGCCGGCGTCATCCCCAAAGAGAGCCAAGACCACCCACCAGCAGGCTGACAAACCCAAAATTGTGCCCCAGCCCCCCACCTCACCACCACCAGGTGATACTATGAAGGTCAGGAAGAGCCCTGAACCCCGTAAGGCAGAGTCAGTTCAGAGCCCAGCCGTTCAGAGGACACCTGCCCCAGAGGTGGACAGCAACAAGGATCATCCACCTGCAAGAAAGGAATCTATTTCGTCTGTTTTATCTTCTACATCTTCATCATCATCCTCATCATCTGGGAACAGCTCAAGCAGATCTTCATCTGATTCAGAAAATGAAGCTCTTAATCAGAACAGCCAAGGATCTGGGGTAATCCCAGCAATTAATCTTGAGGCTCCTGTAGAAAGATCAGGGGAGCTCATTAGTCAAAAAGAAACTCATTTGGAAAGTTCTCTGGAGCCAATGAGACAAAAAGAACATCATCTAGAAGGATCTCTGGAAGGATCTCTGGAAGGATCTCTGGAGCCATTTAGTAAAAAAGAAACTCATTTGGAAAGATCTGTGGAGCCGGTTAGTAAAAAAGAGGCTCCCGTTGAGACACACAAAGACCCATTTAGCCAAAAAGAGATAGAAAAAGGTGATTTGAGAAAAAAATGGAACAATATTTTATTTATAACAGATTTTATAAGAGTTAATAATTTATTTATGAAAAATAAAGCATAAGAAAAAAACAATCTATACATAACTAAACATTAGCAAACAATTTTTTACTTATATAACTAAATAATAAGACTACAAAAAGTTATCTTCTCAGATCTTTAAACAAATATCTTCCCTATAGTTGAATTGACCAAGGCTCATGGAGATGTTGCCACAGTAGGGGATGAAAACATTCTTGACGTAGTTCCCAAACGCAGAGACTCAGGTACACGAATTAATTTTGTGTGTGTCAAAAACCTTTAAAAATATTTGTTGTCGCATCGACCGTTCATAACAGCCATGCTGGTTTAGTCAAAGATTTCACAAATGTTTGTTGTCTCATCAACCATTCATAACAACCGTGCTGGTTTAGTCTAAGATTTCACAAAGGTTTGTTGTCTCATCAACCATTCATGACAGCCATGCTGGTTTAGTCTAAGATTTCACAAAGGTTTGTTGTCTCATCAACCATTCATGACAGCCATGCTGGTTTAGTCAAAGATTTCACAAATGTTTGTTGTCTCATCAACCATTCATAACAGCCATGCTGCTTTAGTCAAAGATTTCACAAAGGTTTGTTGTCTCATCAACCATTCATGACAGCCATGCTGGTTTAGTCAAAGATTTCACAAATGTTTGTTGTCTCATTGACCATTCATAACAGCCATGCTGCTTTAGTCAAAGATTTCACAAATGTTTGTTGTCTCATTGACCATTCATAACAGCCATGCTGCTTTAGTAAAAGATTTCACAATTGTTTGTTGTCCCATCAACCATTCATAACAGCCATGCTGGTTTAGTCAAAGATTTCACAAATGTTTGTTGTCTCATCGACCATTCATAACAGCCATGCTGGTTTAGTCAAAGATTTCACAAATATTTGTTGTCTCCTCGACCATTCATAACAGCCATGCTGGTTTAGTCAAAGATTTCACAAATGTTTGTTGTTTCATCGACCATTCATAACAGCCTTGCTGGTTTAATAACAGATTTCACAATTGTTTGTTGTCCCATCAACCATTCATAACGGCCATGCTGGTTTAGTCAAAGATTTCACAATTGTTTGTTGTACCATCAACCATTCATAACAGCCATGCTGGTTTAATCAAAGATGTGACAAATGTTTTATGTGAGGGTGTAAGGGAGATAAATAAAGTAATAAAAAGGTCACCAAAAATATGTAAACTTATAAAAAGATAAAATGTGTGAAGTAAATCTGTATAATAATTCACGTTTTTTATATGAATTATGTTGGGACCTGTTCGCAAATTATGTCACGCTCAGGGGGGAGGGAGGTGTCGAGAACTTTTGACAGGGAGGGAAAAATTTGTGGTGTACAATTTTTTGTTTTTCCTTTTAAATCTAAAATTTGGTAATTTTGAAAAATATTTATTTAATTAATTTTAAAAACATTAATTTGAGGTCGAAATGACCTCAGGTATTATAGGTACTATGAAACTCAGTCGCTCACACCTTTTGCGCATATCGCTGTTTGGCGTTACAGTTTCCTAATATTACTACACCTTAATCCATTATGGGAAAATGTTAAACACTAAAATAAAATCTTAGTTTAGTTATTAAAATTTTATGTATGTTTTGATTTTTTTAGGTGTGGTGTGACACTGGGGGTGGGGGGGGGGGGGGGGGGGGGAAA